GGGTTCCCTCTGTCGGGGACAGGTACGGGCCAGCAGCTTCAGACAGGCCGGCTCGCCGGGTCGGGCAGCGGTGCACCTCGGGTCGGCGGTTCGGGAACTCCATCAGCAGCGGCGGGGCAGCGGGTTGGCTCGGGTATGCGGTGTTTCGGGCATCTCCGGGCATCGTGTCCTCGTGGGTCCAGGTCTCGTGGTCTGTTCCTTGATGACGGTGACGAGTTGGACGAGAATGCGGCGTATGATGGACCGCCCGTGTTTGATGTTGAGCCGGAGGTGCACGTGGAGCATCATCGGGGCGATGTTGGGACAACCCTTGTGATTCGTCGTTCGTGTTTGACACCTCGGGCTCTGGATGTGGAGACGAAGTAGCGCCATCACATTTTCGAATCCACATGCACGATTGGCGACAAGGTGTGTCGCTTTATCATTGACTCGGGCTCCTGCGAAAATGTGGTTGCACAGGAGGCTGTTGACAAGTTGAGCCTGACGTGCGAGCCTCATCCACACCCTTACACTCTCGCATGGATTCAGCGCGGCAATGCTATCACAGTGGATCGCCGAGTCTTAATCTCTTTGTCCATTGGAGCGACCTATCGGGATCGGGTTTGGTGCGACGTGGTTCCCATGGACGCATGTCATGTGTTATTAGGCAGGCCATGGCAGTTTGATCGAGCCGCTACGCACGATGGCAGGCTTAATACGTATAGTTTTACTTTTGGCGGTCGTCAGATTGTCTTGCATCCTGCTACTTCTCGCCCGGTGCCGCCTCCTCCTGCTTCGCCTGTTCTCTTTCTGTCGAGATCGGCTTTTGTCCAGGAGATGCAGTCGGCCGACTTCGTCCTTTTACTTCTGGGCTCGGATAGGACGGTTGATCGCGTACCCCCACCCATTATCCAGCCATTCTTGACTGAGTTCGCCGACGTGTTTCCCGACGACCTTCCTACAGGGTTGCCTCCTTTGAGAGAGATCCAGCATCATATCGACTTAGTCCCGGGAGCCTTTCTTCCTAATCGGCCCCACTACCGCATGAGCCCAGTGGAACACGAGGAGCTTCGCAGACAGGTGGAGGAGCTCTTGCAGCGAGGGGTGATGCGTCGGAGCCTGAGTCCGTGTGCCGTGCCGGCACTGTTGATTCCGAAGAAGGACTGGGCTTGGCGTATGTGTGTTGACAGTCGGGCCATCAACAAAATCACAGTCAGGTATCGCTTTCCCATTCCTCGGTTAGATGACTTATTGGACCAGTTACACGGTGCCACTGTTTTCACCAAGTTGGACCTTCGTAGTGGCTACCATCAGATCCGGATTCGGCCGGGCGATGAGTGGAAGACTGCTTTTAAGATCCGTGAGGGTCTTTTTGAGTGGATGGTCATGCCGTTTGGTCTCTCCAACGCGTCGAGCACGTTTATGCGCATCATGAACCAGACTTTACGTGATCTTATCGGGCGTTGTGTCGTCGTCTATTTTGATGACATCCTCATATACAGTCGTTCGGTCGAGGAGCATTTGGAGCATGTGCGAGCAGTGCTTCTTATATTACGAGCTGAGTCCTTCTTTGCAGCACCTCATAAGTGCTTTTTCTTGGTCGACTCGGTCTTGTTCTTGGGCTTCCTCATTTCGGCCGAGGGTATTCGGGTGGATAACAGTAAGGTGGCAGCTGTTCGGGATTGGCCGACACCGACGACATTCACTGAGGCTCGTAGCTTTCATGGGCTGGCCTCGTTCTATCGGCGCTTCATTTCGCACTTTAGTTCGATCATGGCCCCGATCACGGACTGCCTCACCGGGAAAGTGTTCACGTGGACCGATGAGGCTGCTACAGCCTTTAGTCGCATCAAGGACAAGCTGACTTCGGCTCCGGTGCTTGTCTTACCGGATTTTTCTCCTCCTTTTGAGCTTTCTTGTGATGCCTCAAAAGTGGGGATTGGTGTTGTCCTTAGCCAAGATGGTCGTCCGGTCTCCTTCTTCAGTGAGAAGCTCTCGGGCCCGCGATTGAGGTATAGTACTTATGATGTTGAGTTTTATGTTGTAGTTCGTGCTGTGCGCCATTGGCGCCATTATCTGTTTCACAGGGAGTTTGTGTTGTACACCGACCATGAGGCGCTGCGGCACTTGGCCTCACAGGATAATATCTCTACACGGCATGCTTCTTGGACTGCCTTTCTACAGCAGTTCACCTTTGTTCTCCGCCATCGGTCGGGTGCCTCTAACAGGGTAGCCGATGCCTTGAGTAGGCGTTCCCTTCTTTTGTCCGAGATGCGTCTGTCGGTGGTGGATTTTGAGGTGCTACGGGATGTGTACGCAGCGGACCCGTTCTTTGGCCCAATTTTGGGTCGCTTACGTGACGGGCCCTACGAGGACTATTCGTTGGTGGATGGGTTTCTTTTTCGTGGGACGCGTTTGTGTATCCCGGATTGTAGCCTCCGGTACCAGCTTGTCGCTGACTTGCACGGGACCGGCCATGTGGGCCGTGATAGGTCCGTCGCATTGGTGAGTAGCCGCTATTTTTGGCCGTCCCTTCGGCGTGATGTCGGCAGGTTTGTCGAACGTTGTCGGGTTTGCCAGGTCTCGAAGGGTGTCGCGACTAATGCGGGCTTGTATCGTCCGCTCCCGATTCCATCCCAGCCGTGGCAGTCGATCAGCATGGACTTTGTCTTGGGCCTGCCTCGTACACAGCGGGGCTTTGATTCTATTTTCGTGGTGGTGGATCGCTTTTCGAAGATGGTGCATTTCATTCCGTGTAAGCGCCCACGGATGTTGTTCATGTGGCCCAACTATTTTTTCGCGAGGTCTATCGTCTTCATGGCCTGCCTTCGGCTATTGTCTCTGATCGGGATACTAGATTTCTGAGCTACTTTTGGAGGAGTCTATGGCGGATGGTTGATACTCGTCTTGACTTCAGCAGTGCTTACCACCCTCAGACAGATGGCCAGACTGAGGTGGTGAATCGGTCTCTTGGGAACCTTCTTCGTTGTTTGGTTGGCGAGAACATCTGGAGCTGGGACCAGCGGCTAAGCCAGGCGGAGTTCGCCCATAATTCAGCCTTGAGCCGGGCTACGGGCTTGTCTCCGTTCCAAGTTGTTTATGCAGTTCAGCCACGGGGACCCTCGGATTTGGCGGCCTTGCCGTCCGCTGGCGGTAGTGATCGTCGGGCTTCGGACTTCATTGCTGAGCTGCAGCGGACCCACGCGACGACAAAGGTGCGTTTGGAGGCCACCACGACTTCTTACAAGCGGCAGGCTGATGTACGTCGTCGCCATGTGGAGTTTGAGGTAGGTGATTTTGTATGGGCTATTCTGACTAAGGACAGGTTTTCGGCGCATGAATATAATAAATTGTCTGCTCGTAAGATTGGCCCGGTTGAGGTGATCGCCAAGATCAACCCCAACGCCTATCGTCTACGCCTACCATCTCATATTCGTACTTCTGACGTCTTTAACGTCAAGCATCTCATTCCGTTCGTTGGTGATAATTCTGACGGAGACGAGACCGGTTCGGATTCGCGGCTGAATCCTGTCCAACCGGGGGAGGATGATGGAGACGAGACCGCGATAGCGTTTTTAAATAAATATGATCGTCTTCGTATTTAGTTTGGTTCATTTCTCTTTAGTAGTCTTTATTTATTATTGGGCTCTTTTTATTATTATTATTAGTGTTGGGCCTTTTTGGTTATTTACTGAACTTTTAAGATTAGGGATTTCTGATGTATTAAAGGATCGTCTTCTCACTTTGAGAAGACAGACTTGATTATTGAAAATTTAAGATTTCTCTTGATAATTGTTCGTGTTCTTCCCAATCATACATACGTTCTACATCATTTTGGATGTTGATAAACTCCTTTTCTCGCTTTGGATTTGAATGCTCTTGGATTTAACATTGAGATTTTATATTAATCGTAAGTTCCTTTTTCTCAATTGTCTATTGATGATGATGGCTTGGGTTATTGAAATTTGTGATGTTATATCTGCTATGTGTAGCTAAATCCATATGCTAAGGATAGGGGATGATTGATTAGGTTCGTTTATGATTGTTTGTTTTCAATTGCTCATATTTATGCGAGTTGTATGAAATTATAAGGTTAGTTGATTGATCACTATTCTAACCTAGTTAATCAACATGTAGAGAGGGGAGACGTTGGTCGATTTAGGCTCGTTTAGGATAGACTTGTTAGAAGCGTATTGTCTATGTGTTGCTGGAATTGATAGTTTATCGTTTACATTCACTCTCTTGTTACAAAGAGTTATTGAGAGTGAACCTCTGAACGAGAAACGATTCAAGTCCTTTAACCGAGAAAATGATTGCACTGTAGTTGTGTTAGAACCAAAAGCAATTATCTCCGATTTCCCAGCTCTTTAATCATTGAGTGAATTCGCGTGTTATTTAAATTGCTTTTCATTTAGTTTAAAGTTATTAGCTAATAATTGAAACCAAAAACTATTGAATTAGAGTGTTTAGAATCTTTTTCTTCTCTCTTTCGTGATTGAATAATCGTACACTTAAATCCGGCTAACCTTCCTTGCGATACGACTCGGTGAATGAATCTTATGATTATACTCCGGCTAAAATAATCACAACAAGATTGGCGCCGAGGAGAGTTTATGACTTTAATTGTGCGCCTATTCATTTTTTTTAGTGTTTCTCTTTGTTTCTTTTGCTTAGTTTTATAGTTCTTGATTTTTGGTTCTTTGTTTTTCGTTAGTTTTTCTTCTTTGTTTATTTGGTGCTCGTGACGGTTTCTTTTGTCTTTGTGTATGCGTACTAGGAGTGGACGTATTCTTGAACCAAACGAAAAACCAAGTCACGAGAGCGTAAGGGAACTGTTCGACAAGCTTAGCTTTGAACCATTTGAACCAAAATATCCAGATATACTCAACAAACGCCCCGTAACACTCTCCAAACCTTAGCCCAACCGGTGATCGGGCCAATCACTTCATGCATTCATTTGAATGAAGTTGCACGGAACTATGAGCTAAAGATGATTCATTACAACCAACTGCCGTCATTCCACGGGCTCCTCAACGAAGACCTGCTTAACTTCATCTAGGAATTCTATAATGTTCTCCAGACCTTCCTTCTCCATGGGCTGAATGACGAGCAACTGAAGTTGAGGTGTTTTCCCGAGACACTAAAGGATCGGGCCAAGGCCTGGTTCATGACGTTTGCACCGGGCTCTCTCACTACCTGGATCGAACTGTACTCGAAGTTTATTGAGAAGTACTACTCCCATCAAAAGACCCAGGAGCTCAGTTTACAGATTGTTCCATTTGCTCAGTTACCGAGTG